AGAAAGAAGAACAAGTAGGAGGAGGAACAAGTAGGAGAAGAACAATGGTTGAAGGAGAACTAGAAGATCGAAAAGGACAAAGAAGATGGAGGAGGAGCAGGAGAAAGGGAAGAACAAACATGAGAAGGAAAGATCAAGGAGGAAGAAGAGGAGGAGGAGGAGAACAAGGGTTGAAGAAAAGCCAAAAATGTATAAGGTTAGGGTGAAGGAGGAGAAAGAAAAGGAGAAGGAGAAAGGTGGTTTGCTGGTCTTTACACAAGATTTGTTTGATAGTTTTAGAAGGGTTTTGGGCTAATCAGGGTGAGAGACGAACTAAACTAGAGTAAACCAACCAAAGCGTCTTAAACCACAAAAGCAGTTTTGTTTTCAGCTGAGAGAAGTTCAGTTATTTTACCTGGAGCAGCACATGCATCTATACAAGAAGCTTCATCAGATCCATCGGGACAGTCTCTTCTGCCATCACACAGCTGAGCCTGAGACACACATACGGACGTTCCCGGACACAGTACTGAGGGGCTCTTACAGCTTGTCTGAGCTGGTCTGGAAACAGCTGTCACAAAACATGGAGCAGGTGGAATCTTATAAGGTTATTTAAAGTTTTGGGTAATATTTAATTCTTCCACCAGACAATGTATATGGAAAGTGGAGCATAACACTGATATTGAGTTAATGTTGGAAAGTAACGAGCAACTACTGATTGACTAGTAAAGTCACACTTTTGAAGTTTGGTCCACTCCCACTGTAGTCCATTTTGGTTTAGACCAAAGATCCAAAGGTGGCTAAATCAGGGATCCAAGTGAGGACTGACTAGAGGTGGGCTGAGGAGGCTGTTAAGGAGGCAGAATAAAGGCTGTGAAACAGGAGGCAGGTGAAAGTGGGCCGAGGAGTCCATAGGGGTGGTGAAAGGAAGGGCGTGGGCCATCAGCAGGGGAAAAAAAAAAAAAAAAATTTTTAAACCCTGTAAACAGCCAACGGACGTAACTTAGAATGGGAGATGGATCGGTTTGTGAAAGGGAAG